GCTCTGGAGACAGGGTGAGAGAGCTGGGGGTGTTCAGCTGGAGAAGGCTCCGAGGAGACTTTAGATTCCCTTCCAGTACGTGAAGAGTCTCCAGGAGAATTGGAGAGGGACTTTGAACAAGGGCATGGAGTGAGAGGAGAAAGGGGATTTAAACTGGCAGAGGGCAGGGTCAGGCTATGAATCAGAAAGAAATTCTTCCCTGTGAGGTGGTGAGACACTGATACAGGCTGCCCAGAGAAGCTGTGGCTGCCCTATCCCTGGAAGTGTTCAAGACCAGGTTGGACAGGGCTCTGAGCAACCTGGTCTAGTGGAAAGTGTCCCTGCTGTATTGCAGGGGGGTTTGGAACTGGATGATCCTTGAGGTCCCTTCCAACTCAAAGCATTCTGTGATTCTGTGATCTGTGGAAAAGCCCCCCAGCCTTTTATACCCAGGATGTGAGGCTTATTTACGGGGGCAGTCCTCATGGAACAGAGAAACCGGTCCCCTCTTATACCGCTGGGTCAACGTGTCCTCCAGTTCCCCCAGAGTGAGTTCCTGGATCTGGTTCTGGTCGTTCTGGGCAATGACCCCCCAAGCAATCATGGTGTTGTTGTTGGTCTTGCAGCAGGCACTGGCCCAGATGTGGCTGGGTACATTAACCCTCCCACTGGCAATGGAGGAGTTCCCAGGCACAGCACCCACAATGGCATAGGTGGTTTGACAGTCCTTGCTTTTCTTGGGGATAATTTCTGTCTCATAGCGGTGCCAGGCACCGTTGTTGAGTTCAGTGTTCATGGGCACTGTGTTGGTGAGGGTGAAGGTTGCGTACCTGCCGTCCTGGGTGTCGTGATGGGCAGCGGGGTTCAATTGGCCACGGTCCAAATTCTTAAGGTGAAGGTAGTCTTGGTAGACAGCCTGGCTTTGCATGATATCCCTTTCACTGACTGAGTAAATTTCTCTGAGGGTCGCCTCTGTTTCCATCTCAATGGGCAAATTGTCACGTATCAGCTTGACAGACAAGGAAGAGGAAAAGGTGTTAGTATTGGGGATGGGACTAATGGAGCAAGTCTCCCTGAAGCAGAAGTCTCCAGGTGTCAAGATCTAATTTTTTGTCATCTCAGTGTATGAGATTTCTAGAGAAATCCTATAGCTGCCCCTCCTGCATGAACACAAGAGCTTTTAAGACAAAAGAAACTCAGAATGTGACTGCTCTCCTTTTGACTTGTGACCTTTTTGATCCAGCCTGCAGCCTGTGGTGGGAGTGTGGCTGGATATGTGAGACAATGAGCAGTTTCCACTCCTAGGTTTGGTGAGAAACCTTCTCTGACATATTGGTTCCATTTTGTCCTGTCTCCACACTCTGCCCAGGGCACTCCCCAGATCCTCCCACTCCCATTCTGTCTTTCTCTCATTCCATGTGTGGCTGCTACAGGTGTACCACACTCCTGGAACACCAGGGTTTGCCTCCTGTAACCCCAGACCCAGGGAGATGTGTCCTAGAGGTGAGGTTTCCAGGGGGGTTACAGGTCACTGCAAGGATGAAGGTTTTTTTGACCTCAATGCAAATGGGATCTGCTACTGCAGCCTTAATCTCACCCAATTCTGAGTTCTCCTCAATTCTCTCAGGTCACTTACAAAGCCTATTTGACTCTTAACTGGGAGCAATTAAGCTCTCTCAGGAATGCAAAACAGCTCAGGGCAAAGTGGAGATCA